GGCGGGGCCGGCCTTGGCTTCGCTCCGCCCCGGCCTCTCCTTTCGCCGCTAAGAGCTCCCGCCCGCTGTCGTTAATAAGATTAAATTACAGCCCGAAAAGCTTTTGGAGGCTTTGCCGGTATCGGCCCTCTGGGGTCCACCCTCGGAGCAGTGTACGCGTTCAGCGGTGAAACTCCCGGATGCCGCCGGGCCAAGCCAACTCACGGTTTCCAGTTTTGATGAGGAAAGCTGGCTTGAGCCTTTCGGCAGAAACAAGGCAGCGGCTGCGTTCATCCAAGCCCTCTTCCTCCCCAGCCATCCCTAACAGCTTTAAATCCCGTCCTTCTCAATATCACCTTTTTTCCTTTGAATTCTGCAAATTGCCAGCTAAAATGACGAAGGGATCCCCAAAACGTGTACGCTAACATGAGAAAGGCCTAAAGCCAAGTCCCACTGCGCTACACAAGTGCTCTTTTATGCCCACCACCTCTTCACCAGCCCAGGGAGCTGCTCTGGCACCTCTGACCAGGCTCCTCAGGGCACCAGTTACCTGAGAGCAGGGGAAGGGAACAGCCATACCTTGCTCTCTGGGGCTGGCACCCTACGTTTCTTTCATTAGACTGCTTCGTGGCATTTCTTAATTACTTACATCATAACACCATGCAATATTCTGCCTCCAGCTGCAAACACAAAGGACACCTTTTGTAGCGGAACACTGGAGCCAGCCAGCAGCACCGTACCAGCTGAATGTCCATAAAGTCTTGTACGCTTGGAAGAACACCACTGAATAAATTCAGAAAACAAGATAAAGGCCAGCATGAACTCATTTAACATTGTTAACTATCCTGATAGTCAAAATCAGGACTGGGGAAACCACCACAACAGCAAGTTTGTTTTGGCGGCTCAGACAAATGAGGGATTGGCTCTGCCCTACGTTAATCAGTATTATGACTGGCATTGGTTTGGGTTTTTTTTAAATCAACTTCTTAGTATGGATTGTACATCTTGTTAGGCAGTGTATTTTAGATGGTGGCTACCGTACTATTTTAAAAAAAAGCAATCTGCAGTTGGACTATCACCACAGCATTATTCCACTGATAATAAAGTTTAAGACAGCAAACTACTAGTCTAACATTACTACTAGAAAACTTGCTTCTGGGTTTACCTACCAGAGTTTGAGGAGCACATCAAACTAAAATGCTTGCATTTCCACATTACCTCACTGCACTTATTAGATCCATTCCTGATTTTAAATTAACCCAGGTCACGTTAACATGTGAGGTTTGCAAAAGCACAGGTCTTTCAGTAGTAACAGAAATCATGACAGCACAGGTTATGCAAAATATGTATGGCACAAAACTAGGTTGGCTTGTTTAGGTTTCTCTGGCATGTATAGATTGTATACCCCAAGAAGCCAAGTTATGCTGGTATTTCTTAAGCAATCACGTAGTCTGAAACCACAAACAGCCTAGTTCAGCTGATACTACCCTGGTGTAAATACTGCATCTTTGCCCTAAGAAAATAGCCACATCAGCTTTCAAAATTGTTTACAGTGGCCTTCAACAAATATGCAAATGTGTGTGCACACACACACACAACGTGTATTTTCTAAAAAGCATTATAAAAAGATTAAAGTGACATCTAGAATGAACTTGAAGCCTCCAGTGTTGGGTGTAGGCTCTAGGATCATCTGTGCCTGATAAAATACCTCTGCATAAAGTATTTTTTCTATTACGGTAATTTCTTCCAGAGCAGTATCATTAATGCAGTGAGAGCAACTCTAGGTGGCCACCAGAAGTATAAAGTGTTCTGCAAAGATATTCATTTCACCAAAACCAAGTAACACAAGAATCCAGTCTCAGAGGACACAAGAGCTATGTCAAGGGCTAGTGCACAAAACTTTGCAGCCCCAGCTTTCACCACCCCACCACCCCCCCAGCAGCCAACTGTGTTGTGCTCAGCTGAGGCACTGACATATTTAGCAATGAGTCTGTCTTGTCCATCTTCCAGGAACTTGTCCTGCCTGCCCTTGACCCATATAACACCATTCTCTGGCAGGAGGTCTCCAGCTCCACTCCCCCTCCTATGAAGGATGGGGAAGGCAGCAGGTGAGGAACACATATCCACAGGGGCTTGCTGTTCTCTTAACGCTGCATGAACCGGTCAGTGTTAAAAACCGGTTAATAGCATCCAGTCTTCCACTGCAATTGTATTGTCCTTCAGCATTTTTAAAAAACTACTTTGCATCTGAGCACTATCAGCTAGAAACAGCTTACTATTTCACCATGAAACCTAACTGTATCAAATACAAGCAAAACATTTTTTTTAAATCCCAAGTAAACAGTCTGTATTCTAACACACAATAGGTCTGTACCAATTAAATACAGTATGGCAGTATATAAATTACAGTTCTTTACAGTAAATAGTAAAATACAAGAGTCCGCTTACTGTACACAACAATCAAAGAAAGAACAGCAGCTTTTCAGTAAGGTCCCAGGTTATCTCAATCATTCACTTGCTAAGGAACAAAGAAGAACAGATACAGCAGGCCATTCACTTCACTCATTTTTTACCATGTTACTTTACAAGTATCCAGAATGCTTGTACAGGCATCTACAGTATCTACAGGTGGAACAACCTTCTTAGGAATTCATGAGGACCAGACATAAATCCCTCCATCATTCCCATTATTAAAATAAACTTTACAGGTTAAAATTACTTTAGCAGGTTCTATTTCATCTTGATAATAACCAGCAAGTAACAAGTGCAAAGTTTGCAGTCGTGATCCATTTACTGCTTCTTTGTTTCCCCATTCCCCTCCCCCCGCCAAGCAAACCCCCACCCCACATGTTGTCCTCTCATGCCCTTGCAGTAATACTGTTTCTGCAGTCAAACTGCCCGGCTGGCTTATGCTAACATATGAAATGCCAGACATATAGCTTCAGGCATTGTTAGTCATTTCAATCCAATGCCAAGTCAGCACAGTGGCAGGCCTCTAGGAAGACAAAAAATACGAAGCAGTTGGATATTTCAGTGTGCTTAAACACAGAACATAAGGCTGCACGGTGCCCAGTGACTAAAAGAACCATGGCACCAAGTTATCAGTTAAAACATTTACAATAGAAAGATATAAACAGCAAATGTGTCAGTCTAAAACAAGTTCTTTGGTAATTAAGAACAGCAAACCGTAGCTTTTTTTTCCAAATACGGATTTGTATCCTGTTTTTTTCTCAATAAAATATTTTTTGTTGTTTAAAATATATCTCCCAAGTTGTTGCGTAACAAATAGTCCAGTACCTCAGTTATCTACAAATCAGCTTTTACTGTATTTTAGTGTGCAGCCGTATCTGCCCACTGGCAGACAAACTATAGATACACATTCATATATATATATAATATATATATTATTTATAAAAAAATTAGAGAATTAAGTCAAGGACTCTAGGGAATACACATTCCGTATGGACAGATTAAAATGTACAAGAGCTTCAAAAATCCATGAAGTTTTCTACACAGTGATGCGTGTAGTAAGTGCAAAAATACTGCAGTTTAGTTAATCCAAGATTTCCTGTTTTCCTGTTTCCTAGAAAAAGCAGAAGCCGCTGCATCTCCTGAATGGCAGAGGACTTCTCCTCCTGGTTTAGGAGTGGATGATGAACTTTGAAGCATGGAATTTTTCCGTTTCTCTGAAGCAGAAGATGCCTGAGACCGTGAAGTGCTACTCCATTTCCTTGAAGAAACTGATGCTTTGCTGAGGCGCCCAGGACGAACAAAGACACCATGTCGTGGTTTGCAGTGGAAGTACTCTCTGCCTTTTACAGTTCCATCGTGCTTCCCTTCAGTGAAAATAAATGCATAGAATTAGTTGTTGGTACTTCCATTAGCACATACTACTGTAGCACTGAAGTGTTTGATAACTTTGGTTATATGTCAAACAGTCAAGATTTTTAATGCTGAGTGATGAAGCTAGCTCATACCATACACTAGGGAGAACAAAGCCTGGAAAGGACAGCTTGAATTGTGACCAAAAAGATCATTTCCTAAAATATTACTTTGTTAAATAACAGTTTAAAAAGTGAGACATTTCTTCATTTTACAAAACGTCAACTGCTTACAAAGCTTAGAATTTAGCTGCCAGAGAAACTTCAAGTATCAGCGTTACTATCTATTAAGCTCCTAAAACCCTCGTATTTTTAAATGACCCGAAGCATTTCTGCAGTCTTGCAGAGTATTGACTTTCTGACCCCACTGGACTGAAGTTAAAGAAAACCTGTGCTCTGTAATTAACCTTTCCCCCTGGGCAGAGGGGGGAAAGTATCTGAAAGCTACAGACAGCAAACCTGTTTTATAAATGATGTCCATTGTTAGTACTGCCCACAAACATGCATGTGCATTTTTCAAAAATCTAGCAATTTTAGGCTTTGCTTGTTTTTCCGATCTATAAAAATAGATGGGTACCAATCAGAACTACCACAATGCACGCAAGCATTATTCTGCCTGAAGCAAGAATAGGGCTTTAAAACAGTTAAAAATTAACTCTTAGCAAAGTATTCCTATAAATCTGGGTGTATAAGATTCCAGGTCTATATGAAATTAGAGGTATTTCCCAAGACTTAACAGCATATGATTATAGTTTAACTTTAAAAAACAGATCACATTAACTGCACAGATAACCCTGCCCATATTTAGTCTTACCCAGCTGAACATTTAGTTCAACTCCAACCCAGATTCCAGCAGAAAAATCCACCGTTCCAACGTATCTCACTGTGCCCATCTTATTACTTCCAACACAGACTTGTTCACCCACTGCCACCCAGCTAGGCAAGACGTGGGCTTGATCTGCAGAAGCACCTTCTTCACCCTCGGAACCATCCAAGTGGTCCTTCCCAATAAAATCATCTACAGAAGTATCAGGGTAAGTCTCACAGTCTGAAGTCTCTTTTACCAGAACAGGACA